TCAAATGAATAGTAGTCTACCCAGGATTCACAGGTGTATATTCCAAAATTCGCCTGACTTTAAATACCTTGTCTCTTTAATGTGATATGTCTTCAAACCATTTATGATGTTTCACGAAGTCATCTTTTGTTACAGGATCCACAGGAACTTCATCAAGTGACTCAGAGCGGATTCTGATTGCGGGATGGTGGATGTTTACAACTGTTATCTCTGCTGTCTACTGTGGTACTATCATGGCAACCTTAGCTGTACAAACAGAAACACCGCCATTTTCTAATATGGCTGAATTAGTGTCCAGAATGGATTATACGATCGGATATGATTCATCTAGCATCACTGAAAGCATCATTCAGGTAGAAAGAGTTGTATTATTGCAATGTCCTGGACAACACGCTGTCCATAGTAACCATCAGTCTTCCTTTGCTTTACAAGTTCTGTTAACTGCAGACATTCGTCTTGACTCCAATTTGGTTTTCTTTTCTTTGCATTATTGGTGTCAGTTTCTGCCATTTTGATCGTTTTGTTGTCGTCTGCGACACGATGACAGAAGGGAATCACCGCTTGACGTCAGTTTTTTATTTTCTTGAATTTAAGAGTTCCACCGGAAGTTTTCCGTTGCTGGTATTTTCCCATTAGCAACGATGCGCATGTACATCAGCTATGAACTTAAGTTTCTGATCGACTTAACCTCCGACTAAGCTAAGCTTTTGACAAAGTCACTTTATGAATACCAACTTAAGTTTCTGACTTAGGTAAGTGATTTTTTATAAAAACTTAAGAAAAATCTGAGACATTTTTAGTTCATTGACTGCGGTTTAATTCATTATTATTTTCAGAATTCCAATCTATCATATATGGTGGCATTCAAAGAACGAATTCATAGCCAATCCATCAACGATCTTGGTCTACTCAGCAGCAACATCACCACGCACTTGCAAAGGGTACAAGGAGGGAAATACGCTTTTATCACAAGCATGTTAATTGTACCCTTGGTTCATGCTAAGTGCCAGTTAGAAGCCATTGACTCCGGACTGAGCAGTGCTTATACAGCCTTTTATCTACCAAAGTCATCACCATTAAAACATGAGCTACAGAAATCGTAAGTACATTTAGCATACTGACGATGTTCAAGTAAATTCAACAATTTGACAACGAGTTGCGGATATATCTGTTTAACATCAACATGTGTGTTCTTTCTGTTGTCTACAGTACACAACTGATGATGTGTGATTGGTTGCCATTTCACATTGATATATTATATGGTCCACTACTCCAATAATATACTCAAAGGCAAAAGTTTGTGATCAACACATTTGTTTCAAAAAAAATAAGAACATTTTTATAACCCTTTTCGATATTCTTTATAATACACTTAATTCATAACCCAAACAGGGCCCTTTTGGTAGTTTTTGTTTTGCATGCGTTTTTCGTGCTTTGAAGTCCGTGGAAATAAGGTATAAACGTGCCCTTTGAAAAGGGTGGTTCTAATCATTGTCACCCAAATCATTGGTCAGACGTCGACGGGCGCTTCCACGGATATGGAATGTTTGGCTCTATGAGGTACAGGTGTCAAAAATGCATCAATGCTCATGGAGGAAATACACGTTATTGACTGCATGAATTTCGTTTTGAACGTTCTCTCACTGTTACCTCACTAGCATGTGTCCGCCAGAAAAGTTTAAAATGTACCATTTGCAATCCTATTGTGGAATGAATTTCTTGCAATATTGAAAAAAGTCGCATCATAAAAATATCAGTTGTTAATTCACATATCTAGCTTTAAGTCAATCACAATAACATTTGCCTTTGAGTTTATATGTTGTCTTCTGAATTTTAGCGTGTTATAAAGTTTAAACGTTTAATCAGGATGATTATGTGATTGAACATTATCGTTGCTGCCATGAGACCAACACATGCTGCCTAGAATTCCTTGTGTTTTGGGAAACACACAAAACTTTATGGTCAGATTGTGCTGAACTTGCGACATGGCTATTATGTATGATGTGAGTCTCATTGATATTACCTTGCAATAGAACTGATTATGATTCACAAATCTTGATGATTCGGTGTTCAGCAAAACTGTAACATATTTTAACAGTTTCTAAATGTTTGTAAACCACAGCATGTCCCGTCTCAGCGACAATGACATCCTGCAACGAACCTTTCAAGAATGGCTTCGATCTGTCCCAGAAGAGACATGCCGTGTAGAGGATTTCCCAAGTCTGTGTCGCTGATCAAGACTCAGAGTATCTTCTTTGCTGTCGGAATTGGAGTGGGAAGCAGTACATTGATACTGATGGCAGAGATTGTTTGGCATAGGACAAAACATCAAATCTGTCTGAGATGAAGGAGTTTGGTAACATCAATCTTCATTTCATCAAAATCCAACACTCCTTGTTTAGAACTGGGACATATTTATGATTTACGATGATATGTGATTTTTCATCCAATGTCACTGTTTTTGTCCTTTGGAACTCCGGATTTAATTACAAGCTAGTAGCCGTTGCTTTACTTAATGAATTGGGTCGTCTGATTTTGCGACTGTTTCTGAATCCGCTAGGTATAATAGCAATAACATTGAAGTTGGTTTTAATATATTTCCAATCGGGCTGTATAATTCGATCATGATCATCTTTATTCCACGCATTTTAGCGTTCCTAACTGATGCTAACATGGCTTCAATTTCACAATCATTTTAGAATCACTAAGCGCAGATATATCATGCATGTCTTTAGTAAACATTTATGTAGTAAATCTTGTAATGAACCCATTATCTGTATGAAGTCATCGTGTATTTTTAGAAATACAGTTCGCTCTACCCCCATGTAGAGTGTAATAAAGTACTCTTTTGCCCTGAACTATTATAACTAAAGTACGTGGAAGCTTACATACGAGTGCTTTAACGTTCTCAACATACAAGAATGCCTTAACATGTCTAAAATCCACTAGCTTCCTAACATTTGCACATCTGGTTTTCGATTCATACCTCGTTGAACCGAACTATACACACAGTGTCCTTCATCTCAATATATTGTTCATCTTTATGTAACATGTTAATGTCATGAACCTGTAATTCACATGAAGATCTGGGTTTAGAATTAATCTAAAGCAATCCATGCTTGTGGTGAGATCTGACTATCGCCTTAAGGGACTGGGCTGTTATTCTCACTGACCTGGTTAATTCAATCCATCATGTTATAAATGCGTTTGTTTGATGGTCAGGATGTCAATCACGGCATTGCCTGGTCCACATTCACTTACATACAGCCGTCATGTAGCTATAGTCTTAAGTGCAGCTTCAGATTATAAAGACAACCACCTGCATCGATCGGTATCTATATTACACCTACACTCATGTTCCAAAATTGTTTCATTTTTTTTACCATGAGTGGAAGGCGATGAATTTGAAGACGTTTTTATTTCGCGTCGCGTCTCTTGGTAGCGTCAGTTTTTTCCGTCTTTTATAGTTGATATCATTTCCCGTCATCCACGTTCGTGTACGCAATTCCGGAAGTTGATTTGTCGTCTGCTTCGGTGTGAGACATAAACAATACCAACCATGTCCGGGCACGGACAGGAGATGAGTAATGACACAAAACAGGTCATTATCAATATAATAGATGATGGATATAGATCAGCTAGTGTTTCAAGAGTATTAGGCATCCATCCTTCTACTATTTGCAAATTTTTAAGAGATAGCGAGAACGAGAAAATATCGAAAACAGACGTCATTCTAGTAGACCTGCAAAAATCACAGCACGAGGCAGTAATCAACTTTCGAGGATCGTTAAAGTTAATCGCCGGAAATCTTTGGTGGAGTGGGTAAGTGAGTTTAGTTTTACGCCGCACTCAGCAATATTCCAGCCATATGGCGGCGGTCTGTAAATAATCAAATCTGGACCAGACAATCCAGTTATCATCAGCATGAGCATCTTTGGAGGATATTACTCACATTTTTAATCAGTCTGTGCCACAACCTGTTTCAAGAAGAACTGTTCAAAGAAATGTACATTCACTGTGATTTTTTCGACGAGCCGTTTGCAAAAAGCTCGGAATACGTGAGGTGAAAACGTGTGGCGTGGTGTAGAGGAAACATTCTTTGCACTGTTGATAGGGACTGGAAAAAGGTCATCTTTACTGAGTTAAAGTGAGGGGAAACCGATCAGAACGATGGAGGGCGAGTGTCTCGGGTATTTCACTCAGGGAATATGGCGGTCTATGAAGTTGATGATGTAGGGGTGCATTACGTATTACGGTGTAGGCTGTCTGGTGTTCGTCGATGGAAATATGAACAGTGCGAAGTATGTTGATACACTTGACAACTTCTTGTGGTCTGTTGTTGTAAAGCATATACTTGAAAAGCCATGGCTGTTTCAAGATGACAATGCACCAATGCAACGGTACCGTAAAACGGAAACAAGGAAACGCAGGAATGACATTCCTCAGCTACCATGGCCAGCACAGAGTCCAGATTTGAACCCAATCGAAAATATTTTGGCTCATGTTGAAAAACAATGTGATAACAACCTTCTACGATCAGGGACTGGGATACTTGAGGGAGTGTCTCCGGTCCGCTTGGGATGATGAGCTCTTTTCTACATTCAGGGACTTTATGGGTCGCTACCTAAGCGTTTGCAAGTACTGATCTCAGTGGCACACATAACAAAATACTAAAGCAACAGGACACCAATAAGGTAAGCAATGCATTCTTTATTATCCATAACCAGACGCCACCGAAATGTTCTGCAATCTTGAAAATTGAGACAATTTTGGCACATGTGTGTACATATATTCATCGCAGCATATTCCGCTACACTATTCATGTTAAATGTGTATAAGTGACGAACCCGGATGAACGTGCCCACCGGATCTAGGGATTGCACGTGTTGTACTCTGCGTTCCATAAGTCCCGTAGTATTGTAATGGTGCTTGGTGATATATGGAGAAACTGGCTATGACAGGAGACGAGTCCCATTGATATGTGGTTGTAGAGGCTGTTTGTGATGATTGTAAAACTACCGAGTGCATCTACAGAGTGTAAAGTAGAGTTTCCGGTCCTTTCGTTGTTGACAAAAATGGAGGAATTTCGGGATGGAATTGTGTTACGTTGTGACTTTCAAACAGAAGCAGCAAGTTGTCCACAAAGCACTAAGATGATCATAAGTCACTAAGGTAACCTTAGTGCAATGTTAAGAATGGGAGTTAAGGTTAACCTTAGTAAAGGTTGCTTCGTGAAAGGAGCCTTTGGTCTTAGTGTGGTCCCGTCACATCCTTCACTCGGCGTACCAGCAGTATGCCATCTCGCACTGGTAACAGTACCTAGTAAAGAACATTCGTATTGTTTGGCATAGTTATATACCAGTTATATATGTCATGCCTCCGAACAGACATTTCTTTCACCTTTTACGTACGCTTCTTTCAACGCAATGGATTTTAGCGGCTGTTCTTCTTGCATGAATTACCCCCCTTACTTGTTCAATTTCCGTTTCCTATTGCACATGTTTTCTGTCAGGCATTAGTACCATCTTCACAAATCTCCCCCGGCTCAAACTAATACTTGGAAAGGAGTTTTACCGTTTTCGTAACACTACATGAAGACGAAAAGCTGAGATATGAAATGACTGAACTGAGAAACGTCGTTTATATTGAGTCAGGATATTCTACATTTCGTGGACAGGGTTAATTCAGTTCATATTAAACATATTTTATAACAGCTTCTTTCCAATCATTAAGCTAACTTCATACACCCGAATAAAATTAAACGAAGCATCCCGAAATCATGCCTTCTCTTATTCTGTCAGTTATCCGTTCCCCGAATATATCACTATTAATAAGCACAAAAGACATTAGTCCATAGTTCTGATTGGAATGTTGGGAATTGAAGCCCCCAATATATACCTCAGCATTTCACCCATAAAGTAAATATAACTTTATTTGCCAAAGTACCTCGAGCATTACAACTAATGTCAGATTTATAATGATGTATACAAACGAAACTTGACTTAACATTCGAAACATGTACATACTTACTGGAAACATGATCATATGATTATAATGAAACAGAAAGCATAAGATCCAAACAGAACGTTTACTGCCCTAAAATTGACATCCCATAGCATTTTAAACATATCAGTTTATGAGTTTAAATAAATAAAACGCCCTTTGCTTTAAGCTATTCTTACCCTTCTGACCCTCGAGTCATTCCCCACGAGCCTGTTCAGGGCATCAACAGGGACGTCAGTATCAAGATATGTAAGGCCACTAAGAAGAGCGTTGTCGAAGGCGATCGTCCCGTGAGCCGCAAGAAGATCGTGATCCATGATGGTCTGACAAAAACAGCACATACATGTCAACGGTTTGTCAAGGTATTACATTCATACTGACTCCTTGTTCTTATTTACAGACACCTAACAATCGTATTAACCTAATAACGCGAGACAAATCGGGGATGTGAAGAGATGGTGTTCTCATGGTATTCCGGGAAAGTTTCAGACCTTTGGCATTCGTAAAATCGGCGTTAGGCCCATTGACTACAGACGAGTACCTGCTTGAACTAAGAGCAAGATTGAAAGATCTATCATCACAGATGGCTTAGAGATTTCATTGTGGGCAGTAGCAGCAACTTCTGAAAGCGCAACTGATATGCCATCGGTAGAATGGTGGTGTGAGCTGACCCGCCTTGAGCTATGGGACAGACCATATCCATTTTGATGGTAACTAATGAGTTGGTTAACGTGATGAGGGTTTGAATCCTGTCTTGGTCGCCGCGTAGGTTTTGTCGTTAGCTCGCCAGCTCACATAAACTCGCCAGTCAGTTAATATTTGGAAGCAAATCTGGGTATTCCCTGGGCCAACTAAATGTAGTGACGTCAGTGTAGATTGAACATACAAGGTGAACATGGACAAAGTCCAAATGTCCTATAACGCTGCAAGGAACGGTGGGGTAGCCTCGTGGTTAAAGCGTTGGCTCGTCACGCTGAAGACCCGGGTTCGCTTCCCCACATGGATAGAATGTGTGAAGCCAATTTCTGGTGTCCCCCGTCGTGATATTGTTGGAATATTGCTAAAATCTGCATTACACCATACGCACTCACTCACTCACTTTGACGCTGCAAAACAATAATTGAGCTCTACAAGAGGTGCGGCCACCGTCAAAGCCGAGTTTTGTGCCCAGACGATGTCAAGAAGTTGTCTCGTTCTACGAAGGTTAAAGGCGATAGCGTTCATTGATTCACGTTACGGTCAAACTTGAACCTCATGCCACGTTACTGTCCACCTGTTTATATTATAATACAGTAGTTATGTACAGTAAATAAACCAGGTAGATATTCTGGGTTAGAGGTACCTATCAGCTATGCTTGTTGCCAGGGGCGACCAGATGTATCGAGTGGTCAGCTGATTGCCTTCTTTTCTTGGTTCCTGAGCGTGGATTCTTGACAGGGTCCTGCCAATCAAACACCAATGGATATAAAGTATCAAACACCATGACAAAACAACACAGTGTCATCGTTACTCACATTGTAATACGTTACGTAGTTGTCTTTATCTGCGTCCACGAAGATGAAGTCAAATGTTTGTCCTTCCTTCGCCATATTCAGCATCGTATCGTTGGCGTTACCTGGAACATTTGACCCGTGAAGATCCGGGTTAAGTGATCTTCAGTAACCGATGCTTTCCGTAAGAGGCGACTAATGGGATCGGATGGTCAGGCTCGCTGACGTGGTTGACACATGTCATCGTATCCCAGTGGCGTAGGTCGATGCTGATGCTGTTGATCACTGGATTGTCTGGTCCAGATTCGATTATTTACAGACCGCCGCCATATAGCTGACATATTGCTGAGTGCGGCGTAAAACTAAATGCAATCACTTACCTGGAACATTATTCACAATATTGATGAAATACTTTCAAAGCGTCGTTATATTTTGTGTGTCACAACCCCATGATATTTACAGTTTTGTGCCCTAAACCAATCAACTACCACGGTCAAAAGTGAGACACCATGCGAGTTTAACATTCAGTACTACATCTTTCGAGTCACACATGTAAAATATGTCACACGTTTAGATGAACAACATCAGTTCTCACATTTATTGACATGTATCTATCTTACAGACTGAACCAATGAATAACACTTACTAACACGGCGATGAAGCTGAATCTTTGCTTGTTCTAAACAAGCTCGTCATAAATGTTGTATAGCAGTATGTTGCTTAGAATTAATGTGCACGAAACTATATTTTGTCTTTATTTCTTATATTAAGACCGTTTGCCTTTGAGTATAAGTTATAATTGCTTTAGATACATAAAAGACATCCAATTAGAAGTTGCATTAGATGCCCCAATAGGCATCCAATTAGAAATTGCAGCATGAAGTTGATTTCAATAGGATGTTAACTCTCTCCTGTTAAAAGTGCCTCGTTTGCTGAATCACTGTACCTGTGTATGTTGAGAGTGTTATGATAAAGATCCCCCGTAATACACGGTTTATAGTCTGCTCTATTGGCCATATGAACCGTTAACTAACCGAACTGAATAATGGTAAGAGAATTTATAATTGTTCATGGGTATAGTAAGCGTTTGATGTGTTAACTAATGTGTGTTTCAATGCAGGTTCTGAGCGCCCTGTCAGTGACTTCATCCACTATGTATTAGACAAATAATAACAGTTTCGCGCATATACGTATTCATCCTGCACTGAGAAATGTGTGTATATGCTGAATACTAGACATCGGTTTACCTGTAATTAGCCCCACTGATTATTAAAGAGATTACTCATTACACATTGATTAATGGGGAAGTGTATCTTTACATACAGGAAAAAAACAACAACATTATGTACATGTAGATTATGAATTAATATCAAATAGTGTTGACACCGGGTGTTCACTTAACGGAAAGCGTATGCTGCGCCACATTTGCAAATTTGTTGCAAATACACTCAGTCTGGCGAAACGATGCCCCTGTGACATAAACATATTTGATGAGCAGCCCGATTGTACCCTCAAAATGTTGAAGTGAATATAGACACCGAAGAAATCCCTCTCGTCCTGACATAATGAATTATATTCCGAAACAAACTCACCTATTCTAATGTCAATCTTATTTCCGTGAGGAGATTTGTCGAACTCCTTCCGACTGATTTTCTCAAGGTAGTGCTCAACGTCGCAGGTGACCACCATCCCGTCTGGGGGCAACGCTTCCGCCATTGCCAGGGCGCTGTATCCGGTAAACATACCAATGTCAAGGACACGCTTCGCCTGTTGCATGTTCACAAGAAACTTGAGGAATTCACCTTAAACAGAGCAGTTATTCTCCAGTCAAGTCCTCACATAATACTATGCCTGACTATTAAGTTCAGAAGAAGAAGGGCACCCACGACAACACAACAGTCCACAACATGATCAAAGCCTAAAGAGTAAAGAATTAACATATTCTATTTATTCCGAGGATGAATAAAGTGCTTGATCCATCTTCTGTAGCTGTCACAAAATGTTCTTACGATAAGAATAAGGATATCTACATATCCGAATAAAATAATGACATCCATAAAAATATAATTAGTTACATGATGACCAATGTGAAAAGGTCATAGAATTTTCCGTCAGATTATACCAAGGAATTGAATAGAGGCAAACTAAAATCAAGCTGACTAATAGATGGGAAGTCAACTGTAAAATCAGAAATTCCCGTCACAGGGAATCTAGGCTAGTCGTACCTCGTCACCATACACGAGCTGCATATCAGAGTTGTGTTTTCCTGGTCACACCCATAAGGTAATGGCACATTTAGTACATATTAGAAGGACGGTTTCTGTAACCAGCAGACGAATATAACACCGTCATGACAAGGTGTGAGTGATTACACAATGCCATTTAAAACGTGGTCAAATGTAACATATTATTAGTGAGTGAGTGAGTTAAAATTTAACGTCACCGGCAGTATTTGATTCATATAGTTACGAGAAAGGTTTTCCATACACAATTAATATATGTTGTTAAATGACCAGTCATCGAAGGACTGTAAAATAACTAGAGTATCACAGATGGCGTTTAAATGTTATATTTAGGATTAAATTTTATTAGTAAAGTACAGATTTTAGTACTTTTGTGTAGTGTAATCCCAAATATGACATATGTTACATTTGACCACTTTCTAAATGGCATTGTGTAATCATAGCCTTCGGTCGTGGGAGCCGTGCCAATTTACACTTATCAGAGGGGACCATAAAGTCCACAGTCTAGCCTACCAGTTGTCCGACTTCCATTTTGTGAGAGGCGCGGTGGCTGAGCGGGTTAGGGTGCTGACTTTGTGTGCTAACGATATGGTGCCTGACTCTGAGGGTGCGGGTTCGAATCCCAGTTGGCACTCAATCCAACAAAGGTACTACAATCTGTACTTTACTAAGAAAGTGTTATCCCAAATATAACATATGTTATATAGGAGTGAGTGAGTTTAGTTTTACGCCTCCTTCAGAACATTCCAGCTATACAGCAACGGTCTGTAAATAATCGAGTCTGGGCCAGACAATCCAGTGATAACCTAATTAAACGTTTCAAACCATTTAAAGACTACCAGTGTCGTCTTAATCGTCGCAATGCACTCTGTAAAATTTTATATCTAAGGCGAGCTAGTATCGATTTAAAAAAGAGATTTGTCGCGTTATTTTTAGACTCACTTAAAACATTCACTATATGTTATGTAATACTATATGGTTACATCGAAGATTGATTTCTCCACTAACTTGGGGGAACCAACTGCAAACTTTATGCAGATGAATTGCACGAGGACCATGCATCAAATTGTTGATAGCATGTGCAAATATCTTGCATGTGAACAGCTGCGTTGTGTTTTGTTAAGAATTCACCAATTTTCACTGATTTTCATCATTTATTGAACTGATGACAATAATCTTTTCAACGTTACGAATTTGTTTACAATACATCAGTTCATGTGTAAACAGTACTCTTAAACAGTATGGAATATTTTGCAAAATTTAGTTTAGAACAGTTGCCTGAAGTAAGTGGCTATATTTACACTAGTGAGTGTAAACTTTCGATGAAAAGTATATGTTTATCCGAGTGGAATGTCGTTACATATTCAGCTGACACACCATGACATAACCTAAACACTGTTTCATTTGACGTTGAACCACCTCGCTTAGTTAGCCACACACTTACCTTCAGCTTTGCCTGTGAGCATGCCATTCCCCTTTGGCTTCTCCAGGCCATGTCTCAGTTTGGCTGTGGTCCAGTCAGATGCCTCTGTATACAAGCGGATCTCCTCAAGGGTAGCACTCTCAGGAGAACAATGGGTGTCCAGATATTCCTCCCGAGCTTTCATGATGGCTACTATCGTATTGATTCGTTCTATGATGGCTTCACGCGAGTTTTCATCTTCCGGTAGGTCCAGGATATCACGCAACTTCCGGTAAACAGGGTCTCGGAACATAGGACCATATTTGTCAGAGAGATCGGCACAACCACAGAAATAAGGACACATTATATATTGAAATACAAATCTGGAAAAAAAGAATTTTCATCATGTTCATACATTGAGGGAAACTAGTTCATACTGTTTCAACATTTACTGGTTGCTGGTCATATTTAGGACCTTATTTGAAAACGGGGCCAATCATAATCATCTCTACAGTATATGTTCACCATTCTCACATGTGTTACTGAATATCAAGGAGCAATGGGGTAGCCTAGTGGTTAAAGCGTTCGCCCGTCACGCTGAAGAATCGGGTTCGATTCCCCACATGGGTACAATGATGAAGCCCATTTCTGGTGTCCCCCGCCGTGATATTGTTGGAATATTGCTAAAAGCGGCGTTAAACCATGCTCACTCACTCACTCACATGTAATACAAACCAAATAAGCGAGTGATCGATGAACAGGAGAAAAGTCCAGTCAGAGAATTGGGAAATACGTGTGTTGTGTGGATGTATAGAGAATCCTATGCTTATAAGTGAAAAACGTCTGGGAAATAGGTTTGTTTCACAACAAGGTCTTTTCAGATAATGAGTATCAAATGACTATATCTATTATCCCAAGTGAAACGAGAGGCGACGCGAAACTGATAGATTATTCTTTCTGCAGGAGTGAGCACAACTAAACAAGTTTCATTTCATTAAATCCGCTCTTTTATTTGTTAATCTATTCCTGGAATCTGCTCGTCTGTGTTCACTGTCGTGATGCAGTTAGGGGTGGGGTGGGTGGGGGCAGGTCATTTGTTCATTCTCTCATTCATATGTTTAGTGATAAACGTCATCTGGAATTGGTACTCATATATACATTGTCATTGTACGAACACTGTTCATGATGTAAATCCACAAAATGTATGGATGCTACTGAAGCTTAATGCCGAAAGTATATATGGATATAGCCATATATGATGGTCTTTACCACGGCTGCCGATGCTGTAGAGTTGTTGGAAGAGTGAGTGAGTATGGTTTTACTCCACTTTTAGGCATATTCCAGGAATATCATACCCCTGAAATTGGTTTTACACATTGTCCTAATGTGTGGAATACAACACGGGTCTTCGCCGTGACGAGCAAACGCTTTAACTACTGAGCTACCAGGCCGCCCCACAAATAGGAAAACATGGCTGAAGAAATAGCATTAACGTTTGTGTTTATAGAACTGTCAAACACTAACCAAATACACTTCACATTTTGTACATGTACATATTGTACCCTGGTCTTCGGCGTGACCACAAGGCTACCCGGTTACCCGGTTACCCGGCCGCCCCACAAACAGAGAAATAACAGAAGAAATAGCATTAACGTTTGTGTTTATAGTACTGTCAAACACTAACCAAATACACTTCACATATTGTACATGTACATATTATACCCTGGTCTTCGGCGAGACCACTAGGCTACCCGGTTACCCGGCCGCCCCACAAACAGAGAATAACAGAAGAAATAAATGCGTATAAATATCAGTCAAACATTGACCAAATGACCAAATGTACTTTGATGAATGAATGTGAGGAATTGTAAATATGAAGAAACTAAAATAAGTATTCGTATTTTGTTAATATATGTTAAGGGTTACTTACCAACGCCGAGGCACCAAACAAATCCTACACAAAGACTGATTTATCACTAGGAGCATCAAGTCAAATGCAAGGGCCATAGTCCATACCTCCCTTTAATACTTACAATTGTATATGATGACTGTGATATTGATTATGAATGCTTCTCACACGGTCCGCCATACGCTATTTACAACAATGGAATTCATTATGTGCCGAGGGCTCATCCATATTTATGTAATTATATATATCTATCAGTTTCCATGGATATTTTCAGGTTTTAATGACACATATTTTCATTGTGTTGCTATTTCAACTGAGACTGATATATGTGAATACAAACTACCATAGAACCAGCTTGTCCCTTTGTGACAGCGTCAGTGAATAGAATTATTTTTGTCTGCCATACGCAAACATAAGCTCTTCCTTGTGCGGATCCCTGCTAGCATTATCATTCTACATTTTGCAAAATGTTACTAAGGCCCAATACGTAAGAGGCGACGAACGGTATCGGGCAGTCAGGCTCGCTGACTTGGTTGACACATGTCATCGGCTCCCAATTGTGTAGATCGATGCTCATAGTGTTGATCACTGGATAGTTTGGTCCAGACTCGATTATTTACAGACCGCCGCCATATAGCTGGAATATTGCTGAATGTGACGTAAAACTAAATTCATTCACTCACACATTGGATCACCCCACCGGACCTGGCAAGCCATGATGCTTCCACGTGAAGTTCTGCACAAATCGTCGTCTTAAGGCTGTCTTATCATTTTTTCAACCGTTACATGATTTGTGAATTGTGTCACTAGTGTTGGCCACCTCGCCCTTCTGCAAACACCTGGTGTCACTACAAGTATTTCATAGGGAGTCTTGAACATATATACTGGACAAAACTAGTTAGGAATATATGTAAATTTGGAAATTATGAATAATGATCTATTTATTCATTGACACACTGATAAAATATCAATCATAAAAATACCAACATCCCTAACTTATTTTGTCAAGTATATATATACTCTGAATGAAGTCAGTATCTGAGAATCGACTCAACTTTTAGCATAGATTTCGTGGGCTATGGAAACGGTTTTGTCGCTTTTATTTCAGAAACAAGATAGGATATGTATTTTCTATTTTGCAGATCATGTCGGCCGGTATCACATAGTCGAGTTGGTTCGCCTTGCCTTGTACTCTGTTAATCTTGTTAAATCAACTTCATCTCCAACGATTTGATGTTTCGGGAATGGGATTCTCATG